AATAAAAAAATGTGTCCTTGTTCAGAGAGAGGTGGCCGGGCTAGGGGACGGGCAGGGAGGGCAGAGATGTCAGGGCCAGAGACCTGCCTCTGAGGCCAGGGATGCTGGAGAACAGCCCTACCGTGGCCCGTCAGCCCCAGCTCCTGCACAGCCACAGGCACCACGGGTAACTGGATTCCTCAAGCCCTGGGCCAAACTGAGGCCCGTGTGATCTCAGACGGTGGTAACGAGATTAGCAGGCATCAGACCCCAGAGAGGGAGTGAAGGCAGGCCATTTGTCTACCCGCTAGCTGCCCCGCCCCCGCAGAGACTCACCCTCCTTCCTCATGCCCACCCGGAAGCACTTCTTCAGGCGGCAGTATTGGCACTGGTTCCGGTGATGCTGGTCGATCTGGCAGTCACGATTAGACCTGTGGGCATGCAGAAGCCACCATGCGGGTCACCGTGACACACACATCCAGCTCCTCAAACTACCCTCTGAGCCAGCTCTGAAGGCTGTGCCTGGGAAACACTGGCACTGCACCCACCCCAGGCTGGGTAGGCAGCCCCAAAGGGGCATCAAGGTTAAGCCTGCAGGTCTACAAAGAGGAAAGCACAGCCTGGCAGACATGGCTCAGTGGTTGAGTTTTGACCTATGAACCAGGAAGTCATGATTCGATTCCTGGTCAGGGCACATGCCCAGGTTGTGGGCTCAATCCCCAGTGTGGGTGCAGGAGGCAGCCAATCAGTGATTCTCTCTCATCATTGATGTTTCTATCTCTCTGACCCTCCCCCTTCCTCTCTGAAATCAATTTAAAAAAAAAAAGAGGAAAGGACAATTGGGTGGTGACGGATGAGTAGGAGTCTATGGCAAAGTAGACCACCACACCAGGAAAGGTACTGGAACTGGGGTTTTTTAAAAAATATATTTTATTGATTTTTTACAGAGAGGAAGGGAGAGACAGATAGAGAGCTAGAAACATCGATGAGAGAAACTTCGACCAGCTGCCTCTTGCACACCCCCTACTGGGGATGTGCCCGCAACCAAGGTACATGCCCTTGACCGGAATCAAACCTGGGACCTTTCAGTCCGCAGACCGGCTTCGGCGGAACTGGGTTTTGAAGGATGAATAGTTCCCCAGGTGAATGGAAAGGCAATTATAAGCAGAGTGCAATGAGAGAAAAGGGTTGGAAATGTGAAAATATAGAGGCCTAAACAGTTTCATTTTATGTAGTCACTGACAGAGTGGTGGGGTCTTTGTCCCAGGGGTAATGTGAGAGCAGAGAAGTACGTGGTCAGGGAGCTGGGCGTTCTGAGTTGACTAACCGAGTAGAGGCCAGGCCAGGCCAGGCCAGAGCCAGCCCTCTATGGGGTCCCAGCATTATCACCCTGCACAAGGCCATCACCAATGAATGAATGAGTGAGCGAACCCCTGTCCCTGCTTTAAAACCCCACACCCACGTCTCTTCCTCTGGAAAGACCTTCCAACTCCTAACCGAGCCCAAGAAACTTCTTTCTGGGATCCTTGTTGCCTCTCCCAGGTTTGGGACAGGTGGGCGGGCCCTGTGAGGCAGGGAGCTCCCTGTCCAGAGTCAACCCCAAGCAAGAGGACTCAGGAGCCTGTCCTTCATATGTCCCCAGCATCTCTTCCCCTTGGCCTGCCCCTCTGTGAGTCTCTCCACCCTGCTCCCAGGGCTGAGCCCAGACCGAGGGGGCGGGGGGGGGGGGGGCAGGCACCCCCTAGCTTCCAGCTGAGCACCAAGTTCATCCCGAGAAAGTCAGAGTAAATCACAGAGTAAAATTAACTTTTAATGAAGTTAAAAATCAAACCCCTCTCAGCCGAACATGCAGCCCTGACCCTCCTGCAGCAACTTCTTCACGGAGACAGCAGGCCGGGTCAGGCTCGGGGAGGGCTGTCTGAGGGGCTGGGGGGAGGTGTCAGGCCGCAGCCCTCGGCCCGGCAGGGAGTGCCAGCAGCAGCTTTAGAAGAGCTGAGGCTCCGGAGAGCCAGGAGCCTGGATCCTGCAAGTGGCAGCCTCGAGCGCAGGCCTCTGCCCCTAAACAGCCCCAGCCCCCGCGGAGGCCCGGCTAGGGCGGAGGGAGCTCAGGCAGAACCAGGACAAAGCCCAGCAGGCAGGCAGTGGGAGGGTCCCAGGCAGCAGGCTGGGGGCAGCCGGCTGGAAACAGCCAAGCCTAGGGTGGGTGGGCAGGCAGGCAGGCAGGGGCCCAGCTGGGGGCCCCTGACCTCAGGGGAGGCCTGGAACCTTCTGCTTCAACTTCCCCAGCTCTGGAGTCAGGACTGCTTTCGTGGCCCTCCAGATGGGGACACGGAAAGTTTAAAGATCCTCCTAACAAGCACATGCTTGGCTCGACCCCGGGCCCAACTAAGCTTCCTCCCGGACTTCTGGCTTCCCGTTCAATTTGATTAGAGCCCTCCCTTGTCACACACCCTCACTGCTCCCTGTGGCCCTCAGTCCAGCATTGCAGGCCCACTCAGCTTCCTTCTCTCCCAGGCCTGGAGGTCTCATCTTACAACAATGCTCCCCAACCTGCCTCGGGCGTCTGCCTGGACCAAACCCTCCTGCTTTAAGGCCCATCCCACTGCTCTCCTCCAGGCAGCCTCCCTGACCCTCAGGCAGAGCCCCTTGTTCCCTCCTGGGACCCCAGACCCAGCTCTCCCGTGGGCCCAGCCCCCACTCCACAGGCTGCTGCGTCTCACTGTGCCGCCATCGGCCGGGGGAGGGCCAGGCTGGGAGCTAAGTCTCCCTGGGGGCTGACATCACACCACCCAGCATGGGCCTCAGGAAACTTCCCTGAAGGGCAGTGACTTCACCTGGTGACACAGCCCTGAGCTCCTCAAGGACCTGCCGCCCCGAACAAGGCAACTCCCACTCTCAGGGAACCTCTGGGACCTCAAAACTGCCTGCGCCCCTCCTCTGCCCTCCCCAAAGACCTGGCCAGAAAGCAGGCAGTTATTCCAGCAGCAAGAATGAGGCCAGACTGGTGGCCCAGTTAGCACTAGAGGAGGGAGGAAGCCATCCACACACACACACACACACACACACACACACACGGCCACACCAGACAAGCCCACCCCAAACCTGGGGCCAAACTCCAGGGACCCACCCAGCAAGCCTTTCCTGGAAGGACCCTGACCCCAACTTGGTCACCCTCCCTTCCCCACCCCTTAGTACCCTTTACTAAACCCCAACCGGGGCAGGTTCTCCCCTTGGGTGACCCAGAACGGACACCAGGACCTTGCTGAGCCTCAGTTTTGTGCGTATGGGGAGTGGGGCTCCCCACACTGGTTCAGCAGAGCCCAGGCATGTTCATGCAGGCTCAGAGCAGGGGCTGGTCCATGAAGTGGGGGAAATGCTCACCCAAGAGTGGTAGGAAGGGGACCAGGGCTGGGCAAAGCCCCTCTCAATTGAGACTCCACCCAGCCCAGCCCAGGTCTTCCCAGAAACGCACACCCCGGCCCTCAGTGGGGCCACCTAAGTGTCAGGGATTTTCCAGGAGCCTCAGGTCTCATCCCGCTCCAGGCTGCTGGGGCGGAGCGGCAGAGGTGCGGTCAAATCCAGCCGCCCTCCCCATCCTCCCCCGCCCCCTCCCCTCCAGCGGCGGTTTCCGGTGACCCACGGTCCAGGGTGAGCCCGGGGCGGGTGCCCACCGATAGGCCGGCCCCGCTCCCCCACAATAGGGTTCTCCACGCGAGGGCGGCCGCCCTGCCACCGGGCCTCGCTCTCATCAAGGCCTCCCTTTGGCCGGAGCGACTTTGGAAGTGATATTTGACCCCAAGGGCGCGCCGTATCGATCCCCGCGGCCGCAGACAATGGCCCCTGGACGCGCCGAGCAGCACAGTCCAAGTTCCACGTTCGATTCCCGAGGGGGTCTCTGCACGACCATTCCCAAGGGGTTAAGATCCCACCCTTGACAGCACCCCAGCCCCTCTTCCCACGGAGATGACCCCTCTCCGGGGGAAAAAAATTTTTTTTTTTTAAAGCGAGGGACGGAGGAGGAGCAGGGAACGGGGGCGGAAGACTCAAGGGGACCACCTGATGGGAGGACCTGCATCCACACTGCGCCGACTGTATACGCCACGCCAGGAATGGGATGGACAGGGGGCTGTGCCCTTATCTCGGAAGGGGGGTGGAGGCCCAGAAAGGTCAGCGCCAGGCCCAAGGTGACCGGGCAGGTCAGGGCCCAGGCCGGCGGGCCGGGCGGGTGCAGGCGGCGGGCGGGCGGGGAGGGGGCTCACCGGCAGGTGTAGCTGAGGTTGCGGCGGATGCTGCGCTTGAAGAAGCTCTTGCAGCCCTCGCAGGTGAAGACGCCGTAGTGCTTGCCGCTCGACTTGTCCCCGCACACCACGCAGTCCACCTGCAGCCCGGGCCGCTCCTCGTCGCCCGGCTCCGCGTCGCTGGCGGCGCCGGGGGGCGAGGCCGAGTCCTCCTCGGCCGCACGCGGGTAGCCGCCCGCCTTGTCCACGCCGTTCGTGTCGCCGCCGCCGCCGGGGCCGCCCCAGCCGCCGGTCACCATGGCCATAGCCCCCGGGCAGCGGGGCCGGGGCGCCCCCTCCGCGCGCCTCCCGCCGGGCACCCCTGTCGGCCCGGGGGGACCCTACCCGGTGCGCATCCGGTCCCGGCGCGCGGGGGGTACCGCCTGCACCCCCAAAAAAGTTTTTCAGCAACTTCCTGCGGCCGGTCCGCCCGCCCGGGCGGAACTGGTCGGGCCGGTTCCAGGCCAACTTTCCCACGCGTGCGCGGGGCCGGGCCCGGGGCCGGGGGGCGGGGGGGCCGCTAGCGGCGCGGGCCGGAGGCCCCGGGGACTCGCGCCCCGCCGCCCTGGGGCCCCGCCGGGGGCGCGCGGGCCATGGCTCGGCCCGGGCTGCACGCGGGGCGCCCGCCGGCCTGGCCGCCTCTCGGCCGGGTAGCTGCGGCCAACTCAGCGGGCCGCCATCCGGGCGCGGGAGGCCGGGGGGAAAGTTTGGCCGCAAGTTGCGCGGCCGCCCGCGGCGAGGGGGATGGGCGGCGGGCGCGCGCCGGGGCCGGGCGCCGCACCCCCCGGGTCGCTGGGGGCCCCCGGCGGCCGCGCGGGGCCTGCGGGGCCGCGGGCCGGCGCTTCCCGAGCTGCCGCCCCCGCCGCGGCCGCACACGCCAGGCTTGGGCCTGAGCTCGGGCCCGAGCCTCGCTCTCGCCGCCGCCGCCGCCGACCCCGTGCGCCGGCCTCGCGCTGCGGCCGGTTTGACACACGGCGTTCCATCCGCGGGGCGGCGGGCGGGGGCGGGGGCAGGGGCGCGCGCCGCGGGCTGGGGGCGGGCGCTCGTTGCCCCGGCGACGGCCGCCCTTATAAGGGCATGGGTGGCCGTGCGCGGCGCCCGGCGCCGGCGGGAGGGGCGGGGGCGGAGCGCGGGGCCGCTCGGCTGGGCCTGACCCTTCCCCTCCCGCTCCCCCTCCGCGTCCCCGCCCCGTCCGCGCCCGCTCCAGCCTTAACCCCTGCCCGGCCGCGGCCGGACCCGGGCAGCGGCCGCCCTCAGCCTTTCCGCAGCCTCGCCCGGATACCTTTCAAAGCCCTCCCCTCCGCCTCCTGTCTTGGAGGTTGCCTCGCTCCGTTGCCCTCTAGGCGCTGCTCGGAAGCCCCCATTCCCGGCACATGCAATAACGGGGGTCCGGTTGCACCCCGGGGGAGGGGGGCATGCCCGTATGCAATGCACACACTCGCGCGCTCACGCCCGGACACCCTGGGGCATTGCACGGTTGCAAAATGGATTGTGTTTGCCTCCTCTTCCAGTAAGTCGCCGCGTCCGGCCCCCTCCCGCCCAGCCTCTGCTCCGGCGAACACCTGGTGCTCGGAATATCCAGGGGGAAGGGCTGTGGGGGTGGGCGGCCGGCAGGGACGCGAGGTCAGAGGGTCCCTCGCCGGAATTTCAGGCCTCTGGGAGCAGGTCGCCCACCACCACCGCTCCGCGAGGTTAGAGGCGACAGGAATGCCCACCTCCCCTTCCCCTTTAATTTCCTTTTTGTCCTGTGCTTTATAGAGAAGGCTTGGCCAGGCGGCCGGCTGGACTGCAGATGTCTCTCCTCCCAGCTGCCTTCCGCCTGCAAAACCTCCCACAACCCCACCCAGGCCCTGGACCGGAGGCAGCCAGCACTTATTAAACACCTTTTGAATGCTCCCAGGCTGCTTCTGGCAGGAGCGGCAGGAGCCCCCAGCGCTGGGCTTGTTAACGGTTAACGTTTAACCCGCTGGAAAAGCCCTTCCTTTCACCTTTCACCTTGGAGTCCCTGAGGTCCAGTCGCCAAGCCTTTTCTCCTGCCCTGCCCTGCCCTGCCCTGCCCTGCCCTGCCCAGAGCCAGACACGAGGCCATGTGGCTGGGCTTCTGAGGGCTGCAGAGGCAGGAAAGCAGTGCCCTCTGCCCCTGGGGACAGGCACCTCCTCTCCAGAAGACATCCAAAGAAGCATCCTGGGAAGGAGGGGGTTGCTTAGAAATCTTGCAGCACTTAAAGGGTACCGAGGCCCTGGGAAGGCCAGCTCAGTCCTCCAGCTCCGGGGCTCTGGGCCTCCCAGGGTGGGCCGGGCGGGAGGAAGGTGGGGAAGGTTTCAGCAGGCACAGAGAGCAAGGACTAGGGTTAGATGAGCAAGGACTTGCCATGCGTCTAACGAGCGTGGACTTCTGCTCTGTGAGCCTTGCTGGGGAAGGAGGGGGCCTGGGTGGTTAGAGAGGACCCTTCGGTTCTGGGGCTGCCTGGAAGGTGGGGGTGCTGACTAGTTATTTGGGGTGAGGACAGGGATCCTAGTTCCCTGGCTTAGATCTATCTTCCAGGATCCTTGGTGGGAGAACAGGGGGTTCAGAAAGGGAGACGTAGAAGGGAGGGAGAGAAGGACCAGGAAAGAGAATCAGAGCGGGGCTGGGGAAGGGAGGAGGTGTGGTAGGGAGGTTTGAGAGACACGAGTCTGGGGCAGGAGGCTCAGAAGTGACTGGCTGGGGCTGGACTGGAGAGTAAGAAGATCTGCTGCAGGTCCCAGACCCTCGAGTAGGTCCAACCCCAGGCGGCTGCCCTGCCCCCTGCCCGGTAGCTCCACTGGCCACGCACCCCCTGGGGCCCCGCCTGCAAGTGGGGGTAGCTGAGGTCCAGATCCACCCCCCTGACCCCTGCCCGTGGCCCCGCGGTGACATTTGACCTTGTGGCGGCTGAGGACCAGGGACAAAGAGGTCTGGGCCCATCTGCCGCGAGGGCACCCGTGGGAACAGCCAGACCCGGCTCTGGGAGGCCTGGGAACCAGCCCCCGCCCCTCCCCCAGCGCAGACTCCTTCCCCACCCTCCACAGGTGCCCTGTCTCCTTGTGCCTCCTCCCTCACGGGCTACCAGGTGGGCCTGGGGACTAAGGTCATTCCTGGACTCTGGGGAGGTGGGGAGAAGGACACCAAGGTTGATAAGGTCGGCTCCTCTGCCCACCGCACAGGCGACATTGCCCGCCTCAGTTTCCCTGCTGTCTTCCAAGCCTGCCTGGCCCAGAGAGAGTGCTCAGGGGTCTGAAGATCAGCAGCCCCAGCACACCCCCGAGGCCTCTGTGGGTCAGGAGGACCGGGTGCAGGCCGGGCCGCTGACTCCCCCAGACCCCAGGCCTGTCTTGCCTTCCCGAGAGGCGGGCACCCACCCGACCCACCAGCACAGGTGAGGCCTGGGAAACGCCCCCGGCACCAGGCAGAGAAGGAGAACCTGGCTAATCCCCAGTTTGGGTTTCAGCAGCCGCCCGGGAGGGGACAGCTAGCTGGTAATCCCAGCCGGCTGGATCCAGCCCAGCCCTCCTTTTGCAACCCCGCCCGCCCAACCCGCCTGGAAGGGCAGGGGAGTGTGGCCTATGGAAACGAATGCTGATCGGATGCCTGTTACTAACCTGGCACTGCCACCTCCCACAGCTCCCTAGCTGCCGGAATTTACCCTCACCGAGGGCCACCCCGCTCCCAGGGCCTTGGGCTCGCATCAGCAGCAGCTCTGAGCTCCTCGGCGCCCGCAGCATAGACCCTGGGTTTCTGCTTCCAGGTCTTTAGGCCTTTGCCTGAGCTCCACATGCTTTGTATGCAAGTTCCAAGGCTGCATCTGATTCCTCCTCCCCCAGCCTGCACCCAGAGCACAAGGCCCTTCCAGCAAACATTCCACACCCGGAACCATGGGGGCCCCAGTCGCCCTGGGACTTGGGCATCTTCCTCTTGGGAGCATTTGCCAGCCAAACCTAGCATCTCCCAAGGGGGTGGGCAGGGGAAGGAGTGCCCTGCCAACCCCCCCCACACACACACACACACCTTGGACCCCTCCCTGGCTCCTGCAGACAGGTGAGAGCTGGAATTTCCGCTCTGACTATGTAACCTCATTGGCCCCTGGCTCTCCCCAGCCAGCCCTGGGGACCTGTCCCCACAGCCCAGGCTGCCTCTGGCATGACCCTGCTGACCCCGATCCTATGCCCCATGGTGCCAGGCGAAAGACACCGAGTCTCTTTCAAATGCTGGCCAACAGCCCATCAGGACCCAGGCACCCAAGCAGCCCCATCACACCAAGCCAAACACCCATCGACACGCAAAGTCAGACCACATGACGTCACTCCGGGATATTTATGACAGAGCCCGCCACCGCTGCCTGGCACATGCAGACACAGCCAGGCGCAGGCCCTACAGAAAGGTTTCCCCTGGCCCGGGCGGTGGGCGGGCTGGCCTGGGCCTCCCCAGGACTCTTGTGGTGGCTTCCAGCACGGCCAGCTCCTCTGCCTGCCTGGCCTCCATTAGTGCCACCTGCTGTTCCAGCTTCCTCCGCTGCTCTTCCTGCTTCCGCTGGGCTCCTCGGAAGGCCAGAACCAGGGCTCTGGAGGGGGGAGGGGGCTAAGCCAGGATATAGTGTCCCCCCCCCGCCCCCCGCCCCCATCCAAGGCAGGGGCTGTGTCTTCCCTGACTGGGATCCCACTGCCACTCAGAAGGGGCTGACGCAAACCAGGCACCAAGGGAGATGTCGAATGGCTTGAACCTGCAGCCCACCTTACAGGAGGGCAGCTGAAGCCCGTGAAGAGCCAGGAATGCCGCTGAGATCAGCACGGGCGCGCGACCCACCTGTGCGCCTTGCACAGATCGCTGTTCAGCTTGGCACTCTGAGCACGTCTGGCTCGCCCCTTCTTAGCCACCTGTTCCAGCTCCTCCCGGAGAAACTGCAGCTGCTCCCACAGGCCCAGGGCGCTGGTGCAGGGGTGAGGAGAGAGGGGCTCACCGCCATAGCCTGTCCTGGCTTCCTTCTGCCCTCCCACCTGCCCACGGTGTTCCTGGACACAGGTGTACACCCAGTATACCATGCTGTACACAACACCCCCACGGCTCTCACATAGGAACCACCGCCACCCTCTCAGGCCCACCCACCCCCACCCCCCCCAGCCCAGGAGGACCCAGGCACACACCGGGCGAGTGACGCTGACAGTCCCTGAGCTAGCGCCTCCGGGTCCTGCACTTTCCCCGTCTGGCCTCCGCCACTGCCCCTGCTGCCTCCAGGCACAGCGGGGCCCTGAAGGAAGCAGAGAGGAGGGACGGACGTGATACTGGTCTAGGCCAAGTGTACACTCAGTTCAAGCTGGATGTCGATGTGCAGACTGTGGCAGCCATCGTCCTTGCCCTCACAGAGCTCCCAGTCTCGTGAGAAGCCCCAATAAGGGTAAAATTACTCCTAACGAGGGAAGTAAATAACAGGTGATCGATCTCATCTGAAGGCAGTTCAGAAGGGCTTCCTGAGGGAGGTGATATTGAAACTCAGACCTGCAGGAGGTCAAGGACTTAACTAGATAAAGAAGTGGACCTGCAGGAGGTCAAGGACTTAACTAGATAAAGAAGTGAGCCTGCAGCCGAAACCCGTTTGGCTCAGTGGATAGAGCGTCGGTCTGCGGACTGAAAGGTCCCAGGTTTGATTCCAGTCAAGGGCATGTACATTGGTTGCGGGCACATCCCCAGTAGAAGGTGTGCAGGAGGCAGCTGGTCGATGTTTGTCTCTCATCGATGTTTCTAGCTCTCTATCCCTCTCTCTTCCTCTCTGTAAAAAAATCAAAAAAAATAAAAAAAGTGACCTATGTTCCTGGCAGGGACACAGCAGATACAAAGGCTTAGAGGTGGAAGAGGTGATTCAAAGGAGGTTCTATAAGCCACTAGAGGCTTTAAGCAGAGGGCAGCCATGACTGACAAGAAAAAGGGGGGAAGAGAAGGATTCAGGGAGGGAGCCAGAACCAAAATTTAGGAAGAGAGGAAGCATGGGCTGGGTTATTGGGTGGGGAGCAGGGCGTGTGAATGGGCGTGGGAGATGGGAATGAGGAGGTACAGGTTTGAAGGGAAGACACTATACCCCCGGGGCTTATTGGGCTCAATATCCTCAAAAAAAAAGTCCCCAAAGTACAAAGTGTGAACTTTCACCTGCAGTTTACCACTCAACTAACTCATTTCTCTGTGCAGAACCGGAAGCTGAGGCGTGGCCAGAGACATTTCGCCGGCAGTGTCCTGCCAGCCCCACGAGGTCCGGCAGAGCCACTCACCTGGGACCATGCCTCCTCGTCTCCACTGCTCCCGCCACTACTGCCACCGCCGCTGCTGTTGGCGCCCCGAGTCTGAAGCTGCGCCCGTTCCCACTGCAGCTGCTCCAGCAGGAGCGTGTGCACGGGGCCCTGGGCGCGGAGGGCGGCCTCCTGCAGCTCCAGCCCCCGCCTCTCCCGCCGCACCAGCTGGAGCCTCAGCACCAGGTCCTCCAGGGTCTCCTGAGAAGCCACGGAGAGGGCGAAGACTCTGTGCCTCAGAGTCAACTTCTGGGGACACCGAAGTCTCCAGAGGCACCCACTGAGGGCTGGCCAAGCAAGAACTCACACCCTCACCTTGACCTTGTGTGGTGAGAAAGATCACCCTCCCTACAGCGGTAGATATGGCAGTTCAGAGGGCAAGTGTTTTAGACAAGGTCAGGTGACAGCGCAGTGGGAGGGTCTGGAGTTTCTCCCAGTCCAGAACCTTAGGTCTTTCCCACCAGGCTATAGAGCCCAGATTGTGTCTCCTGCCCCACTTACTCTCCACAGGAAGGGCATTTTGGAAAGCCATATTCCAAGTCTTACGAGGAACTGAATTCCAAAGCACGAACTCCTATTCATCCCTCAAAACTCCAGCCCCAGTTCTCCTCCCTCCAGGAAGCCTGCCTCTAGCCCAACAGAGCTTTTCCTTGCTGCTTGGTCACCTAATCACATCCCTCATCCTCGCCAAAGGGTCTTGTCCCACCGGGAAGGCCTGGCACAGGGGCCCCGCCTATGTGTACCCGCGTGGCCTCCAGGTCCTGCTGGATCTGCCTCTTGTCCAGCCGGGGCAGGGCTGGGCCAGGCTGAGTCTCCAGAATGGCCTGCACCAGGGCTTCTGCGTGGGGCAGAGTGGGCATGGCTGCCAAGGTGGGGCCAGGCTCAGGGAGAGTCTTCACCAGGGCGCGGCGCTCCCGGAGACGCTGGACATAGCCCCGGAGCTGGACAGCCACCTCCTGCAGAGTGGGCCTGTCCACACTGCTGCCCTCAGGGCTGTAGGAAACAGAAGAGGGGCCTGTGTCAACCCTGGCAGGAATATTGGACTAACTCCATGCCAGCCCTGGTGGGCTCCATCCTCTCTCATCTTACTGTCCATGATAGATCCTATGCCATCTGTGGTGGGCACTGTCATACGAACATGGTGTGCCCTACAATGGAAACCCCAATGTGTACCGCTATCCATCAAGACAACATAGTGAACGCTGTCACATCAGTGGGGACCATTGCTCATTCCAACATGGTGGACACCATCACACCAACACAACAGACATCACCCCTCAGCGTGCCATCCCTGTTTGGCAGCATGCCAACCTGATGAAGCACTGTCATGCCAGTTATAATCCGTGGGCATCTATCTTCATGCCAGCCCTGGTGGGTTCTAGATCAACCTCCATGACTGTCAACTACCATGACAAATGTGTTGATTAGTAGCCAGCCGATTCCAGTCAGGTCTCCACAGAGTCAGCTCTGGGAGCCAGCCTCAGTCTCAATCAGGACCCCATTTACTAGCTTGCCCAGTTCCAGGGGTTCCCAGGAGTACCTTGGCTGGGCATCCCACAGTGTCTCTCCATCCATGACAGCCTCCTCTTGAGCTAGCAGCCTCTGAGCCTCCTTCTCGGCTGCCTCCACATCGCTCCTGGGGACGTCTGCTCCTGAGCTTGCCTCCTGGAGAGTGAGCAGGACTCCGTACACTTCCTCACAATGCTCACTGTGGGACAGCAGTTCTGAGTGCTCTGGGACACCCAGCCCCATCTTTCTGTGTAATCCCAGGCTTTCACTTGCTCCTGGGTCTCTCATTTCTCCCTGACTCCCACCCCCAGAGGGCATGCGAACCTCTTCAGCATCCTTGGGCTAAAGTTGCCTTCAGTTAACTTCCATGGTGGGGGAAAGTGCTTTCCTGAAGGGGTCCTGCCTCTCTTTGTGGATCAGAGCCACCCTCTAAATGCACCCATTCTCTTCCCAGCCATTGACAACATGGGCGGGAGGCACTGACCTGTACTGCAAAGCCAGACGTAGTGCTGTGGCCTCAGCCTCCCACTGGCCTAGCTGCATGCTGAGGCCCTCACACTGGCCCTTGTATCCCTGGAGCACAGCTGACAGCAGACGGTTAAAGCATTTGAGCTTCTCGATGCTTCTACCTCCAAAGACGGGGAAGAAGAAGAAAAAATGAGATGCCTCACAGGGCAGTCAGGATCTGATAGATTTCCATTCTCTCCCCCACCCTCACCCCCATTTCAGCTCCAGACTCTTGAGTTTATATCCTAGCAAAGCAGGTGCAGGTGCCCTTAAGAGCTCAACATTTGTGTCATTTGTGTCTCTTACCCCTGGAGCTGCTCCATCTGAGCTTCCACAATGTGCATCTCAGGAGTGAGGGGCCGGTTGGGGAGAGGCCTGAGGATCTGGGCACTGGAATCACTCTGGATGCGCCGGAGCAGGGGGTGAGACAGGGAGAAGGGATCCTGCCAGCAAGAGGGGACTTGATTCACCCAGATTGTCCTTAAGAGCTTAGTTAGTACGATAGGTTTAAGCTTTTCCAACCCCAGAAGCTGTTGGATCACATGGCCA